GCTCATTCTCAAACAACAGAGAGACTCTTTCATCGTGAAGTTACTGCAGGATTTTCATGCACGAAGCCTCGCCATTTTTTGCCATCAACGCGACAAATGTTTTCCCGAATCTTTTTTGTCAGTCAAAGTCTTTGGAGAGCACGAACTATATTATCCTTCTGTAAACGAGAAAGATAGACAGGCGTGGATCAATTGAAAATATGCGCGCGTGCACTGCGAACAAAAGCTTTTTACAACGCTTCGAAATTTTATTTTTCTTTTCACGACACGGGGTTACGAAAGAGAGAGAGAGAGAGAGAGAGAGAGAGAGAGAGAAGTATTTTGTTGCCGGAAAACAAAATGTGAAATCGAATTTTATGCCCCGTGTGTTAAAAAAATAATTTTGACACTTACAGTCAAAAATTTTGTTTTACATCCATACGTGCCGTAAAGTATTACGCGAATCTTTTTTTTTTCGTGTGTGCCTTTATCGTGTAAACTAGAACAGAAAGGATAAAGCGAAGGAAAAGGGCTTTTTTGTTCAGCAGAGTTTACGTGTTCGAAAAATACAGTGTGATTGAAACTGTAAATACAATGATGAAAAATTGTAAAAATATCATACTTTTTATCTTTGCTTTTGATTAAAAATTTTCCATGTTCATTTGAAAAGGAAAATCATGTAATTTCGTCAAAACGATAAGACCCTGAATCCAATTATTCAAAAAAAGTGTCAAAGTTTAATCATCAAGGCTGTTAAAATGAACTATTTTAGCCAATTCATGACATTTCACTTATAAAACAATAGTTAGCGTTCCTAATCGACTTTTCTGAAAGTTTCATCCCCATCTTATCAACGACTGCATTACGCTTGGCTCGAGTGTCTTCGGTGCTACGTCAATTTGCCAGTTCCCAAAGTCTTATTCAAAATGCATATCTTTATCAGTAGTATTCAACGACTAATTGAATTGATGATCTCGAAACTTTTTTCAAAAATATTTAACGATCAATCTCAATTGAAAATTTTAATCCACAGCCATCCCAGTTTATTAACACTTGCTCGCTCTGCTATCGCAAAAAGACAGGGCTGATATAAATAAACAGCTAATCCTGTAAAAAAAAAAGCGATAAATAATCCGTAGGATGCTCGTAACGACGCGCGCTGCGCTCGATATTTCATCGCGCCGCGCCGTCATCGGCTCTGGATTTTATATTTCTAAGCTCTTTCGGCGTGTATATAAATTATACGACGCACTCGAGCGCTCTCGCGAGTGGAGCGGGCAAGATTCTTGACGCGAGGCACTCGTATTATATAGGTAGCTACTAATCCAGAGTCTGGGCGCGCGCAACAGGCTCGCGTGACAGTAGCCAACCATTGCGCCTGCGGGTAATCTATTAAGAGGCCTCCGGAAAGGGGGTAAAATTGCGCTCCATCGATCCTATGCACACCGCGAACGAACCTGCCGAGATATTCTCGCGTGTGTGTGTTAGTTTCTACACACGAGTAAGTGTATGCACGCGTACGTGTGCGTATGCCACAAGTACGTATAAAAGAGAAGCAGCCAAGATTAATTAATTCGAGGCGTTTTCGTGGTTTCGTCTCGGGGAGAAAGCGCAGTCCTTTCTCGTCTCTCTGATCTATGGGTACTACTAATTTGGCTTCAACGTGTGTAATCTTATTCCCCAAACTTTAACCCTGCCTCTTCGAAGATGTTTTAAAACCCAAATTTTGAATGGACATCGCACAGGTTACGATGAAAAATCACAATTGACGAGGAGTAAATTGCGAGCGAGCTGCATTTCACAGAGTAAGATGAAAAAACGTACACCAATCCATCATGAAAAAAAAGGGCGAAAAAAAGAAGCTCTTGCTCGACTCATCAGTTGGCATGAAAGAGAAAGAGAACATGCAATCTAGGTACACGTTAATTGCATCTCTAAATACCTGCGTCATTTATTTTCCGTATATATACTTGCAGCCACGCGCGCGCTCATTCCCCGGGGTTTTTTTTCGCCGAACTCATTTGCGGACAGCTCGCTGTACGAATAATAATATCGTATCACGAAAAATGTAATGCCATCCGTTGCTTTTTGACGAAAAAATGGACTGAATGGACTTTTTTATACACCCTGCATATATGTATAGCTCACAAGGTGAATAATAAAATTATGAATCATTTTTATTCAGAGAATAAAAGTTTATTTTAGAGCTCTTACTTCATACAGTTCGTACCGAATGAATGGCTTTGAAACCTCATATTCCTTCCTTTCATATTTTTAACAGTGAAAATTATACTTTATAGCTCGAGCGACGTATTGTTTGTAGATGTATTTATGTAGCCAAATATAAACTTTGATCTCGTCTATCACAAATTGAACAGTTCGTGTACGCGTGAATCTTTTTTTCCAACTCAAATAATCGTTATTCTATCTTTGCAGAAAGAGAGAATGAGATAGAGGATCATCTCACTTTTTGATCTGTTAAGCTTCCGAAAGTTTTTAAACTCATTATAGATTCTTTGAAATTATCAAGATAATAAATAAGGTAATAAATTGCCGTCTTGAACACTATCAAATGAGTCGTTAAAATCGATATCTACGAAGCAACTTCCGGAAGGGTCGCGATGAAGAAACCATTACGCACGACCTCAAATAGTGCAGATTTCACTATCTCCACAAGTTGCTGAATAATATTTTATGCCGTCGTATCAAGATATGCCGCTAAGTATAAGATATAAAGCAGTCGACTCTAGGCTCGTATAAGGACACCAATATCTAAAGCGCTATCCCTTTTACTCGAAACTCATCATTGGCGCTCGGCGCGCAGAGAACTTTGACGCTCGTCACCTTGCACTTCGGCGCTCGTAAATCAAAGAAAAATGATAACTTCTCGAACAAATGCTCGAGGGCCGTCGAGGCGCGCGTCGAAATTGCGTCGCGATCAAATGGATGAGTGCGCGTATATGTGTGTGTGTGTGTGTGTGTGTGTGTGTGTGTGTGTGTGTGGGATGGGTGTGTAAGTATAGGTGAACGTATACCCTGGCAAGCACTGCAGAAGAGCAGCAGCGCGCAGGGGAGAGAAGAGATCGAATTAAGGACGCACCTTATCCGCCCATGGCACACGAGCACGAGTCGACTGGATTAAGTTTATCGCGCCACTAACTGATTTCCGCTCTGATGAGGAGAAAGTGCAACGCTATGAGAGGTCATTTAATTAAGTAGACCTACCTTAATTATCGATGTTGCTGGTTTACTTTTTGCTCGATAAAAACAGCATCGTAGCAGCTGCTGCAAAGAGTTCGGAGAGTATGAATTGATTGAACATTTTTTCTTATTACATAGGGACGATCATTGAGTCGCATCTAATACTTTGCATTAACGTTCGAAAAGAATTTTTTTCCGAACTTTGCTCGAACTTTTGAAATTACAACAAATTTAATTCAAATAATTTTGTATGGATTCTGTGCTTTCAAAAAATAATGTTTAGTAATAACGCGAAAGCTCGTTTGAAAAGCCCCCGCTAGTGTAGTTGAAAAATTTCAAGCGACGTAATTAACATATTCCAATTTAAATTCAGCTTACGGAAATAAACCAGAGGATACGCGACGAATGCCGCTCGGCTTACTTTGCTTCTTTGTGGCCTAGGCAAAAAACTCGGCGACGAATTAATTTTCAAGCCATCACGTATGCATCAGCACCAGGATAGAAAGCTAACAAAAAAAAAAAATACCTACGTCACCTTTAATTTACGAAGGCGCGTGCACGTAGAAAAAAAACTCATTGTACGTCCGTGTAACTTTTAACCCAAGCTGGACCATCTGTAACAACGATACATGCCGCATCATTGCGGCCTTGCACTCATGGCAACTCTGGACGAAAAAAAAATGGAAAAGAGACCACACCTCGTGGAGAGAGAGAGAGAGAGAGAGAGAGAGAGAGAGAGAGAGAGAGAGAGAGAGAGAGAGCAACAAAGTAATTTACTAGCGCGCGGAGCAACTCGTGTGATAAAAAGCGACAAGGATCAAGCCAAAAAGAGAGACAAGCTTCTGTATAAATACAGCACAAATTAGCTGAGCTTCGTGCACGGGGGCGATCATAAATATGATACATGCAGCTTCAACTATATATTATACATGCTAGCGAATAGTCCGCCCTTATATAACGCGACGAGTACAAAGTGCGAGAAGGAAGTTTGCTAACTATACGAATTCAGCATTATGCCAGCTAATTCACGAGTGTGTGTGGTGTGTAGTATTAGTAGTAGTAGTAGTAGTAGTAGTAGCAGTGGCGCTGTATATAGGGCGTGTATTAAATGCCACGCACCGTCGACCGGGGGTGGCTGGTAGCTCTACATAAATGATGAAAAGGTTTTACTTGACGCGCGTGTCGCGTGAAATTCGAAATGTAGACTTTTTCACGAATGACGAGGTCACGCGTGATGCTTCTTTTTTCGAGATTAATTAATTACTCGTTGAGCCATAAAGCGCAATCATATGCTTTGCACAATCTTCTTTTGCTTCGCACGAAATTGATGAATTTTTCAAGGGAGAATTCGCATTTCGTGATAATAAGTTCATGTAAAAATTTTAATATTCACTGCAGATTTTTTTGCTTGGCAAAGGAAAAAATCTGCATTAAATCATACAAAGCTTTTGTTACAATTATGTACATTAATGAGAAAAGAAAGAAGTGAAAATAATATTCTATCTATCTACTAAAGCACATAAGAAGTTATACAAATTTCATCATACGTTAAACACATAGGATACTTGCGTCATAATTACACATGATACAATTTTAAGTAATCATTTTTTTGAAAGTTTTTAGAATTGTAGAGAGTATATCATTTTATGCCTAATATGCCAATGACTCAAAACGATGACTGACAGGGTAAACTTATAAATATTTGAAATTATCATCACTAAACGAAAATCAAATACATCGTGTCCTGTAGGACTTTTTAAAAAAGCTACGTCTTGACAGTAAAGAAATTTTAAAGTTAAAATAAGACTCGTCATTTATAGATAAAATTAAGACGACGGATCGTCAGTACTTCATCAACGCCAGTATGAATATATCCATGGAATCGGCGATGGAGCATTGCTGCCTCGATAACGTCTACCCAACCTACATCGAGCCTGTATCAGCCCAATACCAGGTTAGTAATTTTACGCCCAATCGATTATTCACTTCTTCTTCTTTTTTCTTCTTTACAAAAAACTTGGCTAAATGTACTTCTTTTGAGAGACTCGACAGTATTCAGAGTGGAAGTAGAGGATCAAGCCTCCATTTTCTACTCTGTGAAGAAAAAGACTGGCGGTGTTAAGGCAAAGGCACTTTCTTTATAATAAGATCAGTGTTTAAGTCCTCCGCTATTTCCACCTTCATCCTATGTTGTCTCCGATCCCTCATTCGCCAGTAGTGCATGGAGAAGGAGGTCTCTTAACGTTTTTTTTCCTTTTTTTTCAATCTAACTCTATGTAGCTAAATATCTTCAGTCAGTGTTACTGCTGATACTGCTCTGTATTATCGCGTCTTCTTATTCGAACCGTCGGATTGAAAACAAACGCGCCCTAAAGACACAAAGACCGAGAGCAAAGGCAACTGTACGGAAAACATTGTCTCGAGCTCCAATGCCACACCAATTGCTTAATTTGGTATTTTTTTCTATTTTCTTTCTCACAAAGATACCGCACGAAACCTAGCATTAACAATGCTCTTAAGTCCCCTTGTATTTTCACCCACCAAGATTAACTCTTGACATTCAAGGTAAAGAAATTTCTACAAAAGTCAGAAACAAAATAGAAAGTTTCTCGAGCTGATTAATAAATTGAATTTGATTTTTGAATCATTTCATTTTCAATAGTGAATTAAATTTCGATTTTTCTTAAACATTTAAAATCGAGGATGTATATAATCATTAAAGTTTCAATAAGATTTTGATTTGAATAGAAAAGTTTTAAAAAATGCTCCAAACGACCAGAAATACGAAAATATTCTACAATCCGACTTATTAAACGCAAAAAAAAACAATAAGTAACATAACTTGATATATTAAAACCCGCATCGCAGGAGGATAGACTTGGTATATAAACTCGTGCGGCTCTCGAGTTCACTGTGAGGAGACTATAGCATCAACACCCGAGTGACAGGGAGAAGCTAAAAGCGGCGCAAGTGAGAGAGAAGAGGTCGAGGCTCGATGACAAGGATGTCGAGCGTAAAAATTGAAGTGGTGGTGGAGGGAAAGCGAAATAGAGATAAAGAGAGAGAAAAAAAGCGAACCGACGAGAAAATCCATGTGAGCTAGCTTGCGGTTGCAAACTATACTACTACACGAGTCGTCGATCACTGATTTACGATAAACTTCGGCATTTGTTAGTTCGTTGTCAAAATTGTTAGTACTTCTCATTCTCGTAGTACGTTTGCATTTTATTCCCATTCGAATTCTTTTAAATTATTCAAATCGCTTGTTCTGTTGAAAAATATTTTTTTTCAATTTATCCAGGTTATCTATAATTCATGTGGGTAATTGAATTAAATTTCACGGGTTAAGGATATAAAATTTTACCTTTTCATTGCAGCTACGAATTCAAGTTTTTTGTTACGTGAAATATTTTTTTTTATCTAATATTTTGCAATTAAGTATAATGATTTAGCCGATGAAAACGGATGGCGAATTATTTCATATCGAACTGCTAAAAATTTTCAATTATCTTTTTACACACGCCACTTTCAGCCCCTCAATTGTTCCCCGTAAGTATTTGATAAAAGTACAGGCGGGCGTAGAAGCGATGTATCCTACCGTAATCCGGAATAGTCGGCTTTTTTTACTCCATTCACGATCCGAGTATGAATAACACAGAAAGGGGGCATATCTGGCGAGGGCGAGGCGCGGGGGGGATCCGATTCATTGATGGCGAAATATGACCATTCCAGGGATAAAAAGCGAACTCGACATCTTGAGGCGCCAAGGAGAATGAACGAATCGCTCCCTTAATGGCCTGCTGCCACTTCCTTTCGTACCCAAGTTTAACTTCGTTTTTCAATTTCAATCCAGCACGAGAACTGGAGAGGGAGCGAATGCTGCTGAGCTCGGGATACCGCGCGCGGGCGAGGGCGGGGGCGGGGGAGCGAGAAAACGCGTGCGAGAGCGAGAGAGCTAAGAAATTGGATTTTATGCATGATATTGTACAAAAGCTTCGTATACGTACACGAGGCGACGTTAAAAATTTGTTCGAAATCGCAGATTATCGAGTCTAGCGCTGCTCGCAAGCAGCGACAGATTGAGTCGAAGAAACGCTGAAAAAACTCGTCACTTGCCTCGTTCGCGTGTTTACAAAAAAACCACTTATACCACCTGCGTGAGGTCGAATCAGCTTTTCCATTCAGCCTATCGTATGTAGGATTCAAGTTGGCGCTCGTCTTTTCTATCGAACGCATTACACGTAAGTAGCTCGACGAGGCCCGCTTCGCCGGTCGCTTTCGTCGCGCAGCTTTTCTATTATATACATATGGTGCGGACTATAGCATTGCTCATCGCTGCAGTACCAGCTAGGGCATGGCCAATCCCACCCTTTTTTTTATCTACGAGCTCTTCCCAGCTGTTTTTCTGTTTCTGCGGGAACCTTTCAACTTGCCACGCACACACATACAGCAACTCGGGCACTCGCGCCGTAAGTCACTGGATTTTCCAGCCGTTGTACAATGCGCGACTGCGTGTTTTTAAACTTGTATATAGAGTATACGCGCCCTGTACTCTCCAAAGCACTTAGCTAGTATACGTGTACCACTGCTTTATTAGAAAGTTTGCGCTCTTTGACTGAGATATTTATGGACGTTCGCTTTTATTTTTTTATATCCTCTTAAAAAAATTTTTTCATCCTTTTTTTTGCTAACATACATTTTTTCTCAATAGGTGTAATCGAGGATCGATGCGCTTGTTATGCAAACTTGTATCTTGTATCCATTATATGTGAACATATCGAGTTGTAAAAATACTTGAGCTTGTTTCTAATTAAAGCTAAATGTAGATGAGTAATAACCGTGCAAGCAAAGCACATTCGACGTTTGAATTTACACCGACAAATTTATATATGTTCACTGCCTTGGTTAAATATGTAAAATACAGTTGATTCAACTGGGAGCTAGTCGACTTTGAGCCAGAGCATAAAGTGCTGGAAAAATAGCGGACTCGAAAATTACATTTCGTCATCAGCTTTTCTAAGGTACACGATTGACGTATTTTTCAAGTAATACTTCAACTTTGTACACAATAATTTAACAATCATTGTTTCTGTCTGCAGATTTTATTTTCCTTTTTTCCTCGTGTAACGGGACTCTATGATTCTTTATGTGCAACCGGGAGTGCTGAATTTTCAGAAAAAATATTGGAAACTTGCTTTGAATGAACTCGTTACAAAAATAAAAATCAGCTGACGCAAAAAAAGCGCGACAGTATACATCAAAACTTTTTCCAAAAGTTGAAATATTTTTTTTTTCGCGTTATCAAAGACTCGCTATAAGCTGTCATGTATACGTAATGCCCAGCTTGATACATACCTATACGTATACACTTCAGGATTTACACTTGAATGCATAATACATTTGACATATTCGTATGTATATATCGAACTATATTTGTGTATTTGCCCACAGTTCGGTTGAAAATCTACTGCGAGAGCTGTTGTTACTTCTGAGCACAATGAGAAACTTAGAGAGCTCAAAATTATGGCGACACTGTGCACTGCGTCGGAGCCACAGTGTATATTCTCAGTTTCGAAAGTTGTATACATATGCCAGGGAAACTCGTGAAAGCTCGATGATGAAATAGAAATCCGAATGTCATTCGGGGAAAAGTTTCGAGGAAGCCTCGAATCAGCGCATACACACACACACAAACATGCAGCAGATGCTACGTTCGTACGCGTGGCAAACGTCTAACAAATACTTAGATAAAAGCTGAAAGTGAAAGAGCTAAAAATTTCCCGATGCTAACACTTACTTGTGCGCCAATGCTCCAATCCCGTAGGAAAACCAAGTTCGAGAAAAACGAAAAACTTAGTTTTGCAAAGCTTTTTTTCTAAGACTTACTTTTAAATTTCATAAAACTTTGTTAAAATAAAACATATAATCAAGTAAAATGATGAAGCGATGCTTCCATATTTTAATGCACTAACTATGATCATTTGTTTTGATAAATTGCATTCTATCTTAAAAACTGTTCATAAATAAAGCTTTGTGCTCGGTTCATAGTTGAAGCTTTTCATCAGCGGTTATTTGAGCAAAAATGAAATTGATGCAGTCCATTCCCTCAAGTTCCGGACACTTGACTAATTATTTTCCACTTTTCAGTCTAATTAAAACAAGGAAATAAAAAAATATCAAGTGTATAGTGCTGTTACAGGAAAGCTGGATGTATAATCCTTGGCTGGTGACGGAATACTTCCGGCTGAGCTGAGCGCACCAGAATGGATTTTATAGTCTTCGTGTTTCTAGAGTGAAGTTTCGAGTTAGTTCTTTCGGACAGTTGCCGCGTTGCCGGATATGCCTACCAAATGCGAAAATTTCGCGACTCGCGTCGAGTGACGGCCACGTATATCAGATACGAATAAGAATCTCCCGTTTCGCGAAATAGTCCAAACTCCGGTGTATTGTTCGCTTGACTGTATACTATATACCTACTAAATGTCCGGAGTAGTCGCGGGCTTTCAGGCCAGTGCTTCGGGGCCAATTATGACGATCCGTGTCGCGCGTCGACGACTATTCAGCCGTGAGCGCGACGCTAGAAATAATTCGTCCGGTTGAAATTCGCGAAATAACTCGGCGAATAGCGTCGCGCTTTGTGACGAGAATGCACGTGTTTGCGCTACCTGATCATCGCTCCTGTCAGCGACTGCAAGCTCGACCTGTGCTAGGCTCGTGCTGGTGGTGGTGAAAACCAAGAGCTCCTTGCGTGACTGCACGATTGAATAATTCAACTGTTTTTGATCGCTTGACACACCATCAATCTACTTGAAGTAATTACAATTTCATAACTTCGCATTCGCAGCGATTATATTAATTTCAACGGGATTACTCTCGAAATCCTTTTTTTTTTTCATTTAAAAAAATGTATCAAAGTACACATTAATATTTCTTTTGACGGAAACATAAGTGCGT